CACATACTCGTTGCTACGATTCGCTAACTCTATTCGTTTAATTTCCAACTCTAACAGCTGAATTTGACGCTCCTCTTTTTCTTTGTCCCTAGCCCACTCTGCTTGCTTAAATTCTCGTTCCTTGTCTACCCTAGCCCACTCTGCTTGCTGAAATTCTCGTTCCCTGTCTACCCTGATTGTAGGAAAAAAAGTCACAGGAAAAAAAAAACACAGGAAAAAAAAACACAGAAAAAAAGTCACAGGAAAAAAAGTCACAGGAAAAAAAGTCACAGGAAAAAAAGTCACAGGAAAAAAAGTCACAAATATATATTTGCATGATATTTGTTTATACTTTTATGTATTAAATATTTAAAGAGTGTAAATTAACTTAGGATTAATTAAATGTAATGTAATGTGTGTAGGCTGTATACGCATAGGAATTTTTATAATTCATCTAAAAATATTTATTACGAAGTATGTAGATTGTAATTATTTTAAACTTAAGATTAGTAGCATTTAATAGAATGCTCCAAAGTCCACGTTTTTTATCGTGTTTTTTTTAAATACCAGTATTAAATTACCGTGAAATGGTAAGTTCATCTGACTTGCTGCCCTCAATTCATGGCAACAATAGTTATGTTTAGTTCAACCACCTTTACTGCCCACATTTATCACGCTCATTACATAACAAAACTTAGGATCAAACCAGAAAGCCGACAAGGTTCAAAGGCTGTCATTGACGCATAACGTCAACAACACAACATATGTTCGGACAATGCTTACTGAGGAGAGGCCGACCAGAGAATAGCCTACGGCAAAATGTGCCTAAATTTCTTTTTTAATTAACTTTTCTACCGCGTATTTAACTCAATACATAACAAAAGTTGAGACTGTTGTGTTAATTATCTTAGAGTATTTTTGCTTACAACTGTTATAAATCATAATGCTTTTAACGTCTATAAATAATTTATGTTATCAAAAAATACTACCCACATCAATAAACATCAAAATGTTACAATTCTTAACAAATTAATAAAAAAAATTCTAAATAGATTTTTGTGACTTTTTTTCTGTGACTTTATTTCTGTGACTTTATTTCCGATAAAATTTTTCCACTGTGACTTTTTTTCTGTGACTTTTTTTCCTAGCAAAAACTGTGACTTTTTTTCTGTGTTTTTTTTTCCTGTGACTTTTTTTCCGTTTACCGTCTACCCTAGCCCGTTCGGCGTCCACCTCATCCCTGACCCATTTTAAAAGCTTTGTCCCCGCGTAACCTAACGCCTCCCCCTCCCGCTTTATCTCTAGCTGTGACCTCTGCGTAGCCTGGTAGGCTGCCATGGCGTCCCGTCAACTTTAGGTCAAGAGTAGAATACCTGTGTACAGGGGGAATGGTAGGGTGGTCACTGATCAGGGTACCCAACTAGTGTTAGCTGTATTTAAAAAAAAAAAATATTGTAGAGCACTGACAGTATCTGAACTTGCCTGAACAAGAGACACTTACCGAAACTGCAGTGGCCGCTCTGAGTCACCCTGGGAAGTTAGCTGGGTGGTATCAAGGGTGGGTAGAGCTAGGTCTAACTTTGACTTTAACACTCTGAAAACTATAAGTAATTACTAGTAAAGGATGTACAATTGTATTCTAATTGTGGCATAAAAAGTAACAAAATTAAATTAAAATTAAATTCTACCTTTATATATATAATTATATATATATGATAAAAATGTACCAGTATTTATATATATAAAAAAAAATCTAGCTTTGATACGAGCCCCCAATGTGGCAAATATGCTCTAGCGAGTCATACCGCACATAAATAGTTATAGCCGCAGCTACAGAATGACCTGTTTAGTCTAGGGTTTGTCTCGTTGGACAAGAGGTCCCTTAATAATTAGTGTTGTGCGTTTATTAATGTTGTGTTATTATTATTGACTGATTGCCGATATTTGGCTCAGTGAAAAGGGTTAAAATTATGATTGAGTAATTAACTCAGTTTCACAATCCTTTAACTTTTATTAATACATTAATTATTGGCATAAGAGTAATGATATAACTTAGATTAGCCTGGAAGGGGCGACTGGTCTTCAGGGCGGCGTGGTCACACTTCCTCACACACAGACCTCTGTACTAAGTTTTAGCCCCAAGCTGGCCGGCTTCCAAAGAAGCCACACAATCCTCTACACACGTTGCCAAACGTACGTTTAATTTCTCCGAGGAGAACAAGTGCCGTAGCACCAAAATAATTATAATGTAATAATGGCTAGTGCCTAAGCTCCAAAATAAACGTGTACCTCCGAAGAGGGGAGAAGGTAGAGTGACCGGACTGTAGCGTCCCTACCCTACAGGTCACATGACTTAGGCTCCGCCCTCGTGACCGCAGTCTGAGGTCGAGGCCCGGTCAGCCTTACAATACCGCCGGACTCAGGTCCAGGTGTGTAACGTTACCTGTGGGGTAGCAAGAAGGGGGGAGAGGTGGAGACACCATGATAGATATTTATAATCTATCATAACACCATTCACGATGTGAATAAAACGGTATCACATTTCAATCCCCATCACCCCTACCCCTTCCTTTCAGTAAACAAATCAGTAACTTCTGTCATAGCCTTTCTCACCCCACCCCCCATCCCTTTATACGGTGAATACAATAGAATATTTTGTCGTAACAATCCCTTTGATACTGTGAATAAAACTATCTTGCATACAAATCTCCACTTTCATATTGTAAACACAACGTTATCTTTAGACAACCCGCCCTCCCCCCCCCCCACACACACATCCTTTTCGTATTATGAACAAAAAAGTATATTTTTCGCCCCCACCCCTCCCTTTATATTGTGACAAAAAAGTATAGTTTTCGCCCCCCCCCCCCCTCTTTATATTGTAAACAAAATAGTATATGTTTTGGAAACATCCCCACTTTTTTTAACCCTGTCCCTTTATATTGTGAGCAAAAAAGTATAGTTTTCGAACCCCCCCCCTCCTCCCTTCATATTGTGAACAAAAAAGTATATGTTTTCGAAACCTCTCCACTTTGTCGAACCCACACACACACACCCAACGCTTTACGGATTGAGAACAAAACAACATCACTAGACAAAAACCTCTCTTCCTTGCCTTGTACAAGATATTATCCCTTTTCAAAATCAGCCCATCCTATTTCTACGAACACACTAAGTACTACATCTTATATTTACCTGAATACCCTTGAAATTAAAAACAGAACTAGTCTACCTGGAAAAGTTTTTTTTTTTTTTAAAACCCGGATTCAATTGACCTGGGAGCGAAGTCTAAGTTGACCTTGACCCTGAAGTTCGTACAGGTAAATCATTGGTGCGTGTTTTAAATGGCGGTCACAGGTGTCCTGGACAAATAAAGAAAAAGATTGTTATTTTTCATAGTCTTCTTTTAGCACTGGAAATACATATCCTTAATCTTGATGCCATCTGACTACATTATCCCTTCGTAGGCCGAGGTCACAGAAACAGGAGAACTCTACTTCACTTGCACCATGAACCGTCAGTTGCTAAAAGGAAACTTTACTTACTTTTACTTGACAAAACACAATGTTTATTAGTAGATTATTACTATGTTCTTAGTCAGATGAGGCGAGTTAGTTGTGGACAGTAACCCACCTAGGAGATAAAAGAACAAATTCAAACAGGATTGGGGCCCCTTAGCTGATAGGATTACTAAATGTGGTTTCTTTTCAGTAGGTCGACAATGCTGATTCCTAGTTGTATAGGAAACACAGATAAACATTTTTTTTAATAAACATGATCCCATTACACCAAGCCCGTTGTACAAAATAAATAGTTTGGGCTTTCTGCGGAACAGACAACATGGGATAAAAATAAAAATTGCAACTTCCCTACTAAACAACAGACTAAATAAACGTTGGGATACTTGCATTAAAGAGGGAACGTCTCACAGTTATAAAGCGAAGTCACCATTAGACAAAACCCAAGTTCTTGTCGACGTCAGCACCTCAATCATGCGAGACACTTTACACCAGCACCCGGATGTGTGGGTGTGTGGAGCGAGATTGTGTGGGGCATTTGTCAAATATACGTGCGGAACGAGACTGCGTGCTGTAATTGAGTGGCTGTGTGGGGCGGAAGTGTGTGTGGACATTGTATGTGTGTGGTCACTTGGCTATGTGTACAGAATTATGTGCAGCGTGCATGCGTGAGTCACTGCCATTTGTCTTGAATTTTTTTTATCTCTCATTTAAAATTAAATAGTTGAGCGTATAGCTGCAATATACAAAACTTTATTATAACTTTTTTGGTAACGTACATTTTTTCCTTTTTTTCAAATATTTTCAATTGTTATTTATTACACAATTATAGAAGCTTCCAGATGCAAATTACGTATTGTATACATTTTAGATTTTTATCAATATGTTTTTAATTTTTCTTCGCATAAACACATTTTATTAAAAAAATAACGCAAAAATTGTATGTGTTATAGGCCCTATATTTTAATTTTGTTTCGTATTAACACATTTTATTACAAAAATTACGCAAAATATTTATATGTGTTTCAAATTTAATTTCTTTCTTTCATTTTTTGACTCAGAAATTTAATTTACAGCAACAAATTAGATATTTAATCGAAAGAAAATATTTTATCACCCAACCAACACGAACTTTATTGGATGGAAATAATAACGCTTTGAGTCCAGGAGGCATCTTAATACTGAGAGCCATGTTGACACTGTCAGCCAGTGGCATAGGCAGGGGGGGGGGGGGTTAGGGGTGGGGTTAGGGGGGGGGGGGTTATAACCCTTCCCATGGACAAACACCCATATATATATATATATATATATATATATATATATATATATATATATATATATACATATATATATACATATGATTGTGTGTGTGATTTTATACATATGGAAAAATATTTGTACCCCTCCCATGACCAATTCCTTGCTACGCCACTACTGTCATCCATGTTAGCATAGACAGCCATGTTAACACTAAGAGCCATGTTACTCTTAGAGCCATGTTACTCTTAGAGCCATGTTAGCACAGTCAGCCTTGTTAGCACTAAGAGTCATGTTACTCTTAGAGCCATGTTAGCACTGTAACACGGATGTGTATCAATCCTCCACTCCGGGTAAAACTATCGTGACAAGTGATTGGGCCTTTCTTCCGGAATCTGTCCAATCAGCGCCCGTCTTCCTGGCCTGAACATACAACAAGGTAGACATTTGTCCTGTGGTCTTTCCAAAACGTGTTCTGTATGTGTGCATCTCTGCACTGAGTTGTGCAACAGCGAATGACGTCGTGCAGCTGACGTGGATTTCTAACCCCGGATGATTAGGTAAAGAATCTTTTTTTTTTTTTTCTTCTTATTTTCTTCTTCGTTTTCTTAAAGTAATACAATTAAATATGAAAAGTGTGTTTATTTTTAAAAGCTGTAGAAAAATTGAAAAATTAATTGTTCCTAGATTATAGAAATAAATATAAAACTGGTAGTATAAATAGTAATAGAGATAATTAGGTATATAGATCTAAGTGTGTTTTTAGATGTGTTAAAATATTAACTAATTTGAAAAAAAAAATTGTAGTAAAATGTACCTGAGAAATATGTTAAACGTTCGAATACTAATTAATTTTGCATTGATTCACGCATGTTTGTAAATCTGCTGTATACATAGATTCAGGCTAAATTGATATAGAGTTGAAATAATGGTTTCTTTTTACCTTCTGTTGGAGGGGGGGGGTTATTTTGTAAGATGGACGTGCCATGCCCCCCCTTCCCCCCCCCCCCCCCCCCCCCCCCCCCCCGCCGAAGAAATGTGAAATAAAAATCACTGGTGGACACAAAGGAAAGAAAATGTGTTACTTGTTAACGTTTAGTTTCTTGTGAGTTAGTTGTGTTATTTTGTACTGGAAGGTATTTAGATAATTAACATGTTTAATAAAACAACAATTATTTCTTTGCCTATAGAAAAATGGATATACAAACAGAAGAATCCAATTATTTAGAAAGTAAAGAATCTAGTTTCAAGTCGGATGAATCCGGTACAAAAAATGATGAATCTAATTTCAAATTGGATGAAACCAAAACCAGAACTGCTGAATCATGTATAATAATAGATAAATCTATGTTAAAAAATGAAGAATCGATTGCAGACAATTATGAATCGAGTGTTAAATCTAAAATATCGATAGAAAAAACTGAAGTCTCAAGCGCATGCGCAAGCGACTCCCTTGCTATGGCTTCTGTCAGTGAATTAACCCTTCAAACAGAAGCCACCAATGAACCAACTTACCCCGTACCAGACGAAACCACACATGCAGTCACCAATGAACCAACACACCCAGTAGCAGACGAAACCACACATGCAGTCACCAATGAACCAACACACCCAGTAGCAGACGAAACCACACATGCAGTCACCAATGAACCAACCCACCCAGTAGCAAATGACATCACACATGCAGCCACCAATGAACCAACCAATCAAATAGCAGGCGACATCACACCTGCAGACACCAATGAACCAACCAATCAAATAGCAGGCGACATCACACCTGCAGACACCAATGAACCAACCCACCCAGTAGCACACGACATCACACCTGCAGACACCAATGAACCAACCCACCCAGTAGCACACGACATCACACCTGCAGACACCAATGAACCAACCCACCCAGTAGCACACGACATCACACCTGCAGACGCCAATGAACCAACCCACCCAGTAGCACACGACATTACATCTGCATCCACCAATGAACCAACCCACCCAGTAGCACACGACATTACATCTGCATCCACCAATGAACCAACCCACCCAGTAGTAGACAATACTCATCCTTCATCCACAATGGACAGGTCTAACGAACGTTCCGTGAAATCACGAGACTTTGAGTTCTGGTACGCTCCAGCGAGATCCAGCGATCTCCAACATGGCGGCCCTCATCAACATGGCGGTCAGCACCAACATGGCGGCCAGCACCAACATGGCGGCCAGCACCAACATGGCGGCCACCACCAGAGTGAGGTTAGAGACCAAAACGCTACTTTGGAAGGGAATCCAACATCAAATAATGATGACGCCTCTGATGCTTTTGGTGGTAACGATGAAGCTCTTAGTGGTGCAGTTTGTGATGAAAGCAAAGGTGTAGAAAATGACGACCACCAGATGATGAATACAGCTACCAACGATGGTTCTATTGAAGTTAATCCTAAATTACAAGACTACGACATCAATGATACCTTTAGTGGTAAACTGGGTGAAAATGGTAACACAAACAGTAGTGATGCTCGTGACACACATAATAATGATACTAGTGACACGCACAGTAGTAATACTGGTAGTACACATGGTGAAGTTCTGAATATCTCAGTAGCCGGAAGCGAGTTAGAAGATGTCTGCACTCTCAAGTTTTCTACGGACGTCACTGAAGCTAAATCTAGCGCTTGTAACGACAAACCCAATGAAGGTTTGGCTCCCACAGTCACCAAACCAAAGCACATCAACACTGAACAGACCAAAGACCCAAGCCAATTAGCTGATTATGTGAACATCCAACAATTAAGTGGGAAGTTAACCAACACTGCTATAGTATGTAACGCTTCGAATAACATTGATGACTTAACCAATCTCGGAGCTAACAGCCGTGTTTATGATAACACGAATGGCAAATTACAACACTTTGCAACAAATGTTAACGTTTCTCATGACACAATTACTGATTTACCACGAGATGCTAACACCAGCTGTGACTCTGGTATTTTCACTGGTAACTTCTCCGATGTTACCAATACAAGTGGAGACTGTGAAGATATCACATATGGTCTATCTAGTGACGACACGAACGCTGAAGACTACAATGGTGCCTTATCTCAGACTTCCAGTCAAGTATCTTACCCTGGTTCACAAGGCACCACTGCAGAATCTAACACAGAGTTCAAAGGTCAACCACTTGAGGAAGTGCTGTTTGAAATTCAGCAACAAAGAGAAATCAACAGGGTAAGATTTAACTATATACTCCCACAGTTATAATATAAACATTTTTTTTTTAAATAGTAGATCATCTGACCACACAAAGGTGATGGCGTGGTCGAATAAAATTCAAGTATAAATTGTAAGCTGTTACCACTTATAACCAACATTGTAATGTAAACAAGGGCACCTATAATGCCAGTTAAAACGTAAAGTAGGGCCACCTTTAACACTGAAATATAAACAAGGGCACCTACAATACTGAAATGTTAACTAGGGCTACATATAATGAACACTGAAATATAAATCTAGCCACCTATAATACTGAAATGTTAACTCGGGCCACTTATAATACTGAAATGTATACTACGGCCACCTTTAATACTGAAATGTAAACAAGGCCACCTATAATACTGAAATGTTAACTCGGGCCACCTATAATACTAAAATGTAAACTAGGGCCACCTATAATACTGAAATGTAAACTAGGGCCACCTATAATACTGAAATGTAAACTATCGCCACCTATAACACTGAAATATAAACAAGGCCACCTATAATGAATATTGAAATTTAAACTCGGGCCACCTATAACAATCAATTGTAAACAAAGTCAAACTAAAACAAATATTGCAATTTAAACCAGTCAGTCCTACAACTAGCATCATTTTATTTTTGTATCTACAGAAACGAAATGAAGAACTCAAACGCTCACTGGAAGGGAAGATTGCCTCCATACCACAAGAGCCTTTAATCTTTCTGGACACTGATAGAAACGTGAGTACTAATCTTAATCCTAACTGATTAAATCGTTGGTCCACGGCTACTAGATTAAGCTTTAACATGTAATGCGGTTTCTTGGAGTCAATTCACACCCATGATCACTGCACATAAAGATAGTTATTGTCTTTAGAAGTCAAATGTCTACCCTTCTGAAATCATGCAAAAGTTTCTAGCCTTTTGTGATCAAGATAAATTTGTTTACTAAACTTCTGAAATTATGCTTCGGTTGCAAGCCTTCTGATATCTGGAAAACGTCCCTAGCCGCCTCAAAATTTATTTAAGTAAATAAGCTTCTGTTGTTCTTAGCATCTGTGATTTTACAAAAGTCCCTAGACGCCTGAGATCTTATAAATATAACCCTTTTGGGATCTTACCATAGCCACTGAGCTTTTAAAATCTTGCGTAAGTCTCCAGCCCTTTGAGATTTACCAATGTCCTAACCATCTAAGGTGTTACAAATAATCATAGCCTTCTAATATCATGTCTAAAGCCAGTAAGCTTCAGGGGATTTTGTTGAAATCTTTAAGGTTCTGGAACCTAAACAAGGACTACAATTTACATGCACACATTTTGAACGTCTTCTTAATATTACAATAAAAGCACTTTAGCTTTCTTAAAACCTGTTTCTGTTTCAAGTCAGTTTGACACGCGAAGACGTGTATTGATGTAAGAACATGATACTTTAATGTTCTCAGTTGTACACAACACAAGCTTTAGTTTAGTGCCTAGACAGAATGCAATCTAAATGTTCCAGAGTTCTATTATACGATGGGAGGCGTTACATAAGGAGTAAGTTAATAGGGGCGAATATTGAATATGGAGGATGAAATCTATGCTACTATAAGCATTAGGCGAGGTTTAAGTTAAATACGGATTAAGAGTGGTGGTACTCTGTGCTTTAAGCAATAGGGTGGTATAAAATGAAGGTTTTGTGTGGTTTTGGGAGGGTGGAAGTAAATTATGCTCTACAAGCATTAGGAAAGGTAAAATGCGAGTACGTTAAGAGGAGGGGTTTTTGTGTGTGTGTGGGGGGGGGGGGCTAACATATACGATATAAGCAGTTCACGGACATCCTGTTTGTTTTGTTTTCCCTAAAATTATTATCGCATTAACGCCACCTTAATTGTGACTTCATTTTGGGAAATCCGTTTTTTTTTGTGGGCCAGTAGCTACGTTGGGAGTGTGCTACCGGAGGCAGTTGAGTCCCCTCCCATCTCTCGTCATCCCAGAGACTTATGGAAATCCCTTCCCGTGTGTGTCCAAGTTCAGTCTTAGTAACAGCTCGTGTCCGGTATCGTCCTGACGCCCAAATATAGTTACTGCATGTCTGGGTTTTACATACATAATTTTCTCATTTCGTGGTAATGTTCCCGCCGAACACGACACAGTCTTAGTAATGTAGGTTTTACGTCACCACACGGACTTGTTACTTTCTTAATAATGTTTATAACCACCCCCCCCCCCCGACATACAAATGTATATTAATATATTACACGTTTGTGATATCATTAGACCAGTGGCAAAGCTGGAAAAAAAAGGCCCTACCGCAAAAAAGATATTGGGCCCCTACCTATATAAATATTATGTATATATATATATATATATATATATATATATATATATATATATATATATATATATATATATATATATATATATATATATATATATATATATATAATTATTATGGTTGACTGTGGGCGCGCTAAACTGTCTCACCCGCCACCCCGCCCACATCCCCCGCTCCCTTGTTGCTGGATTTGGCGGCATGGTAGAGTCCGCCCTTTCATTAGCCGAAGTCTTGAAAGTGTATCACACAAAAATAAAAGGATTACAGCAGAATATAATTAATAGGACCTTTTAGAATAAAGCACGCGCAATATTGCCAACCCTCTTTTTTCATGAAGTACGACAAGTTTTATTACAATAGAAAAAACTAAACCAAATTGAATGTAGTTTCTAATAACTAAACAGCGACAAGAAAAATATACCTTCATGAACAAAAACAGAATAATGTATACATTAAATTATTGGCGGCTATCCAGTAAATAGAGTTAGCTGGCCCGTGGTACTGACTATAGGGCTAGTAAGTAGGTCACCAACCAGTTATATGGCTCATGCAGGTTTTATTGAGCCGTAGAAGTAGTTGGTGACCTACTTACCAGCCCTATAATTAACCAGCAAGACATACGTGTAATTAATAAAGAAGAAACATATTTTGTTTATTTAAGACTGTTATTTCCAGTTGAGTTATCTAACGCAGTTCAATGTTGTTTTTTATATATTGACAGATTCATTACGACGGGCATGGTAAAGTCATTGATGTAAAAGTAATTGAAAACAAAACTAGCGAAACAAATACGTCGGTAGACAGTGGGAGGCGCAATAAGGAAAAGCGCAATGCAAGAAGGAAAGGGGAGGCCCACACAGAGAACAACGTCCGTCAGTGTTCATATGAGCCAGTGTTTCAGCCAATGGTTATGAGACAGACGTATGTAGCCGCTGCTCCATCATCCACACAGCGAACAGCAGTTTCAGCTCAACAATCCACGCAGCAAACAGCAGTGTCAGCTCCACTTTTTACTCAGCGAACAGCAGTGTCAGCTCCACTTTCCACTCAGCGAACAGCCGTGTCTGATCCACCATCCATTCAGCGAACAGCAATGTCTGCCCAACCATCCACTCAGCGAACAGCAACGTCAGCTCCACAATTCACTCAGCGAACAGCAGTTTCAGCTCAACAATTCATACAACCTGCAATAAATTCACCCCCTCAAGATGGACTGGAAAATGTTGAGTCAGTTTTCCCAAATAGACAAGCAATCAAACAGGCGGTTTTACATGAAAGAAACGCGCAGGTAGAAATAGTTTCTCGTGATGGAAAGCCTTGCGCAGGAATAAAACAAAAAGAAGTAGTTCCTCACAATAAAAATCAAGACGTATCAAAAGAGTTAAAAGGCAGGAAAAGAAAATATGAAGACATGAGATTAAGAAATCTAGTGAATGTAAAGACATTAGAAGTCAGACAGCTGCCTATACACCGGAAAGAGCAAGACGAATCAAATTTGCCTGTTCACCTAACTGACAGAAAGATCGTGCATCAACCTGTTCAGGAAAGTGAAAGAAATGTCACACATCAACCTGTTCAACAAACGACAAGAGAGATCTCGCATCAACCTGTTCACCAAACGACAAGAGAGATATCACAACCACTGCAGGCCACAGCACCACCCTGGCCGGGTGAGGCTCATGACGTCATCCAACCAGCCCCAAACCCAGTTCCAGCACGATCGAGCAGCATGACCAGGCTGTATCCGGTCCTCCCTACACTTGTGGAAGGTCAAGAATGGGCTCAAAGAAACACCATACCATCATACACTACACCACAACATGAAATGTCAAACGTGGCTTTATCAACAAACCCACTCTCGATTATTCACCAAACCACCAACCCTCAACATTTAAACCCTCATATTTTAATTACAAATGAAGAAAACACGGCTATGTACCGCTACAATAATTTCACTACTGAAGCCGATCCAAGAGCTGATTTCGTAACACCACTGGCAGACAACACCGGCGACAACTACCAAGTGTGGTACACCAGCCAACAACAACGACCAATTTCAGGACAACCTGAAGATGGTACTCCACATGTGTTCAACGGAAAGCCACCATTAACCCAAGGAAATATTTCGGTAACTATTTCACTTTACGGTTTTATCACTGTTTTCTTGTTGCTTTCTATTTTGTATCCCACCACCCCCCCCCCCTCCCTCCACCTATTCCATATAAATCCCCATACTGAACATAATTATCTTTACAGAAGGAAAGAAGTTTAAAGGGTCAAGTCCCTAACTACCTACCATTTAGCATCATTGCTACATTAGTGTGTTGTTTCCCAGTAGGAGCAATAGCCCTTTGCTTTGCAGTGCAGGTACGTTACGTAAATGTTTACACCTATAATTTATACACATGCACAAATAAATAAATTGAAAATGTATATATATATATATATATATATATATATATATATATATATATATATATATATATATGTATTATATATATATATATATAAATTTATATATATATATATATATATAAAATTATATATACACATGTGTGTGTCTGTGTGTGCGTGTGTGTGCGTGTGTGTATATCATATAATGTAAATAAATACTTGTGAACTACATATTTTTGGGATTTCATCTTGATTTTAATAAAAGACCTGATTGTTAGGGATGGCGTAGCTAGTATCATATTTATCATTGAATTCTTTTATAAATGTAACAGAATAACATAAAGAAAATCTAGCCACCCAATAAAAAATGACTTCTCATTTTTTCCCCAGGCTAAGAAGGAAGAGAAACTGGGCCACTTGGCGAGAGCGAGATATTCTGCATCAAGGGCCAGGCTATCCTGTGTGATAGCCGTTCTGTTTGGTCTGGTATTGTACGCTGTCTTGCTTTATTTCGTGATTACTAACGTCACGAAGACGATGAGATCGTTGTAAAGAATGTTTGGTATGATTGTACCAGCTTGTTATGATTGTACTAGCTTGTTATGTGTTGTACCAACTTGTTATGATTGTAACCAGTTTGTTATAATTTTAACAAATTTATTATGTTTTGAACTAGGTTGTTATGATTTAAACAACTTTGTTATGATTTGAACCAGCTTGTTATGATTTGAACCAGTTTGTTATGATTTCAACAAGTTTGTTATTATTTGAACAAATTTGTTATGATTTGAACAAATTTGTTATTATTTGAACCAGTTTGTTATGATTTGAACCAGTTTGTTATGATTTGAACAAGTTTGTTATGATTTGAACCAGTTTGTTATGTTTTGAACCAGTTTGTCGCAAAAATTTATATAAAGAAAACAACAAAAAACTTTATTTGTATATTGTAAGAAAAAATTAAAAAAATAAAACACTATATTTTTACATAAAAGTAAACTCGCATATTCTATATATTTTATTCGCATTAAAAAGGATGTTCCTTAAAAAAGAAAATATAACAATTTTTATTTTAGAAAACAATAAAAAAAAGTCTGGATCTGTCAAAATAATAAACGGCAAGACTTTTTTTTTTAACAAAGCAATCAACACCTTTTTTTGGAAGGAGCGATTAATAACGTTGCTTGAATAAAAAAACTGAATTTTTTATTTAGAAAAATAAAAAAAAAGAAACGAAAAAAAAGACTTTAAATCAACGAAACAATAAACAAATTTACCTAACACTTAAACAAAAGAAAAAATACGACTAAAATGATTTAACAAAACAAAAAGCATGTGAAGAAACAAAAAAAATATTTTACTTAAACAAAATAAAAGCATATTCCGTGACACTCTTCAGTTATACAAATCCTATTAATCAACTTATTTTTTTCTGAATGTGATGGTACTATTATTTATTGCTATGCCTTTTTAAAGTAATTTTTTTGAAACTCTAAATATTACTTTTAAATAACCATATGTTTGGCATATATCTATGGAATTATTAAAGCAATAAACGTTACACATTTTCTTAATCTGTTATTGATCTGGTTGTTTACGTTGTGTCTCATTATTTTTGTCGTCTGATTCTGTGTTGCAGTGCTTTAAATTTTAGTTGTTAGTTGTTTTTCGTTTAAGGCCGTTATGTGAATATACTGAAACTGGGAGTGCTTAAAGCGGTACAGGAAGACAAAATATACATGATGCTTATTTCGGTCTAGGGTGATCTATATTAAGCTTGTATTTTAAACAAACATATTTTTAGAATTTTTAAAGAGAATTTTGAGATATGTTTGTATAGTGCTATACTTTGAAGCTTGTTTCCAGTGTCGAAGTAATCAAATCGAGTGGGGACTATCAAAAACGTTACAGGTGGTGTGCACCGTGTACACATTTGGTGTGGTTAGGAGTTAGGTTTTGGTGCTTGTGTTAGTGTTAGAAAATAATATTCATGATTTTTTTGCGAGAAAAGATTAAGAAATAAGACTGAATTATTTTTAAAAAGTTTTGTTTTATAGGCTCTATATGGCAACGGTTTAGTATTTTACGTCAGACATTTTTCGAGGCAAAACGCTTATATATCCTAAACTGTAAAAGGAAATATGCAGTGTTTATTTCTTCGAAAACCCGTTAGAGGATATAAGCGCTCTCCTTATTACGTCTACCGTTGGCGGAAATAAGCACAACTATTGAAACTCATAAAACAGTCGCGTCCTTTGCCACATTCAGTTTTATTTTTGTATTTGCTATATATAGACACGACCTTGACCTAGCTACAAACACCCCTATGAACACATCTCACAAGAACCAACAAGACACCCTTCCTACTTTGTCACAATCTGCCCTAGACCTTAAGTCAACAGCTCTGACTGTATTTGCTGAACTTGTTTACCTAAAGATCAGGTGAGCGTTACTCAGTGTGACGTAATCCAATCGCTTTCCTTTTCATGACGAGCCTTTTATTTGCTTTACGTTCTCATCATTTCATCATGGGTGATAGGCTAGAATCTTGCAATGAATTTTTTACCATTTTTAGTAGTTTAACCTGGCTGAATTGTCGTAAAGTTTAACCGAGCCGTTTTGTTGTATATTTTAACCGAGCCGTTTTGTTGTATATTTTAACCGAGCCGTTTTGTTGTATAGTTAAACCGAGGCGTTTTGTTGTATAGTTTAACCGAGCCGTTTTGTTGTATAGTTTAACCGAGCCGATTTGCTGTATAGTTTAACCGAACTGATTTGCTGTATAGTTTAACATAGCTGTATAATTTAACCGAGCCGTTTTGTTGTATAGTTTAACCGAGCCGTTTTGTTGTATAGTTTAACCGAGCCGTTTTGTTGTACATCACAGCACCGGTCAAACTCTGAAAACAAATCATTAAGTAAAAAAAAAGTTCCCTTATTGATCCTAATAGTCCATGGTGTAAGTGTAGTAAAATTAACATGTTTCTGTGACCTCGACATATTAAGGGATAGTGTAGTCAGCACTATACCCAGCCGCCCATATGTTCCCTAACATGAGTTAGGTACACATAAGAGCTGGGTAGACTCAATGACGTTCTACTGACTTTAACCCAGATTCAAACTCGAGACTTTCGGGTTAGCAGTCTAGCGCTCGACCGCTAGGTCACACCATCCCATGATAACAAATAATTATTCAGAATTAATTTTGACATAATTAGATAGATATTTTTTGACAACTGAAGTTAATATAAAGTAGTAAAGAAGGAAGATTTTAGTCAAAAAGTGATTACTCATTCGTCTACGATTGATTATATAGTTGTATAGAAATTATTTTTTAAGGGGAGACAAATCTCTTATTTGTTGAAATATAAATTAGTCTTGCGTCGAGGCTAAAGTTTGTATTCTGTTGTTTAATTGATACTTTATCTGTGTGTTAAAAAATTGTCTTTATTCGATTAGACTTTGAATGCTTAAGAAAATAATAAAAAGTTTAAAAATTGCTTCAATTTGCTTTAGTTAGACGCCTAATAAAGAAATTACTAGTAGCTTTTTAAATATTTTAAGCCTATTTATTTATTAATATCCTAAAAGCTTCCTGACTCAATAAGCTAGAGGCTAGAGAAACTTTTTTTTTTAAAAATGTTTCGCCTTGGAAAGTTTATGACAGTGCCTCTTAACATAATGGAGGCACCAAAAACTCCCACCAGTTTCAAATACGCATAGACCGAACCCATCTTTTTAGTTCCATCGTCCGCACTGACATAATTTGATCGTGAATCTTAAAATTTAGGTGTGTTTTGACCTCCGCCGAACCCCTGAGACACACCGAACCCCTGTGGATCAATCGTGCACAGGTTAAGAACCACTAGTTTATGATCAAAAGATATGTAGACTCAATTGAGGAACGTTCTAGAATCAAATCTGGGATTGAATTCAAACAACCAATGTGTTTTAAAATGTATACATATCAACAAGATCATTGAGATTAGGCAACAGGTAAAGAAATATTTAAAACGAAAATGAAATCGTAGCCTATTTGCCGGCGCCTTGTACCGTTTAATCGTATTACTTTCCGAAGAGCCTGGTACGTCGGACTCCCAAGTCCCCTACATAATAGCGTGGGGGAGGAGACTGCCGGGAACCAAGAAGAGTTTGCTCTCGACCCTAACCAGATATCTTGACTTTAAGCAGCGGCCTTCACGTGGCTTCGGAAGAGTGCCACTAGTCGGACCAAGCTCATGACCCTCCTAATGGGTGCGGAATGGCTAGTGGTAGCCAACAGCAGCTAGAGGTTTTTGATCTGGCCGAGTAGAACTGCTGTATGCGCTAGGTTCAAAGAATGGCCGATCGCCCCCCCCCCCCCCCCACGATCAAGCTGGGTACCAGGCGGTAGGACGACGTCCCGCGTCTGGTGGGTGGGGAAGGAAAGCCCGGTGAGAGCCGACGGAAGTAGCGACCGATGTGTGGGGAACTCTAGTGGTCGGAGTTTGCTACATTGAGGCCTGCCTGGCTAATGGAAGTCAACCTTCTGAACCGGTTTCCGTATAAGGAAAAAAAGGAAGAATCGTATTACTGTACCAAGAATTATTGGTAAGTCCGATGTCACCTAATGAGAATTGGCTTCATTTGTCATAGTCTTAGAGTTAAACAGAGGCTCCCGGGCAGAAATATCGACTTCACGCCACACCATTTAAATATCTTTATTCATGTTGGCGAAAAAAAGCGCCCAATATGTTTTAAAAACGTCGTTTTCCCCTTTATACATTTTATTTCAGTGTCGTACAATTGATGTGAAAATTATTTAAATAATTCGTAAGTATTTCGTAAAGACGAGTAACTTCGACTGTGTATAAATCATTAAGTGGACTCAGAACAAGCATTTTTTTACCTAGTCCGATTGGCTCCCACTTAGGCATCCGAGAAAGACGCCCTACCCTCCCTTCCCTAGCTACGCCTCTGGAGCTAAATTGTATCTTTAAACACTCACACCTTCATTCTTCAAATATGAAGGACCTACGTCACTTGTGTTGTAACTCAGCTTCAACTCAACAGTGTTTTTTTTTTCCAGACTTCTTTTATCCAGGAGGGGGGGGGGAGGGCTTGAAATTTTTGAGGGGACGGGAGGACGAAGGACAGACACTGGTAAAAGTTTATAGTTTCTATATAATTTCTATTTTCTTCTTGGGGTAACGGAAAACGTGTAATTTTTTTTGGAGGGGGGGGGGGGTACTGCCTCTCAGAAGAGATGCCTAAAAGAACCACACGTGTATATGGCTGAGGCGAAGCGACCCTTCCGGGCGCCCAGGGACAAACTATCAATTTTCAATTTGCACACCCCCCCCCCCAAAAACTTTCGATTTGCACCCCCCCCCCCCCATATATTTTTTTTTATATTTATAATACAACACTGCAGCTAAGATGAGATTTTAATTTGTTTTTCCAACTCATTTTGGCGCCCCCTATGGTCGGCGCACGGGGCCATATGTAACCCCCGCCACCCCCCCCCCCAACTCGCTACGCCTCTGGTATATGTGTTTCATCCCATCCTCTACTGGATATCCCGAGCACATGATTAAACAAATATTCTCAACACAGTTTATAAATAGCTGCGGGGTGAATACGACTTTAGCAGCAGGAAAAAGACGGGAAAACCTGACATGAGTTCACATAGGATCTATGTTTATATTTGCTTACATCAAACAGTCCTTACGGTGTAGGCTAAGTCACATCATCTATTACTGTTCTTGCCCAAGACACATGAGGCAGATAAAGTCGAGTTATTCAGTTCCAATGAATCAAGTAGCCATCTTAGGTCACCTGTTAAAGTTGTGCCGTTGCCATTCTTCACTTTCTTCTTCAGTGATTAACAAAAAAAACACCAAATCTTACCCGAAACCCCCCCCCCCCCCCCCCCTCGGTATGAGCGTCATAAATTAATTATCCCTGATATTGAAAAAAAAAATAATCGATAAAAATCGTGACGTTATGTAATTAGTTATATGTAACAGACTGACTACATGTAGTTAAAGCTACGTACTAGACCTATATATATATATATATATATATATATATATATATATATATATATATATATATATATTATATAATATATGTGTGTGTGTGTTTGTTTGTGTGCGTGCGTGTGTGCAAGTTTGCGCGTGAGTGCGTGCGCGTGTTTTTGTGTGCTTTGCATGTACCAGTGTGTGTTTACGTGTGCGTATGGTAGGTAGGCAGGCAGGCACGTAGGTAAGTAGGTAAAATACCGGTGGCTACTTGTATCTAGTGCTAGGCGATAGACATGTCCTTACAGAGTCCAGCACGGGATTTGAACTCCAGGCTGCTACATATTTTATATATATATATATATATATATATATATATATATATATATATATATATATATATATATATATGTATAAGAAATGAATAAAAATGCCGATAAAGAGCAGTACAACCGATTTTATCCGCCAACTTTACCTCGTTTGCCAGATCCTGTTTACCTGTCATTAGAAAGCACCTGATGACGCATTTCACGTTTTTGTGTGCAGCGTGTCATTATTTATGCACAACACAGCATGTCACTCGCTGAAAGGCATTCAATGACAGGAAGGTTTTGGTTTCCACATTCTGTGACTCACTGAAGTAAACTCAAGACTGTCTCACAGGTAGACACGTCTCTCGATTGAAACTACGTGTAGCCATGTCTGTCATGTAGCATCAATTCATATGGCTATAACTGTCATCTAGAACTAGCTACATGTAGCCATGTCTGTCATCTAGCAATGGGTGTAGCCATGTCTGTCATCTAGCACTAGCTACATGTAGCAATGTCTGTCATCTAGCACTAGCTACATATAGCCATGTCGGTCTGCGGTCATATAGTACGAGCTACATTTTGTTTCTGCATAAAGAATAAAAATTAAACAAAACTTAAGTAAGGGAAATAGCTGTGGCAAAATATACAAAGTTTTCATACAGAGTTATCTCCCGTATATATATATATATATATATATATATATATATATATATATATATATATATATATATATATATATATATATATATATATATATATATTAATTTTAAAGCTTTCTATCATCTGTGTTATGCGTATAGGAAATCGCCAGAAGTTGTAGAGTGAGAATGCAAATGTATTATTCTTTATAGGTATGATGGACCTAATTTCATTAAAACATTGGCCTGTACCATAGTACATAAGACATTATAAGACATTAACTTCAGCGAGAAAAAGATAAAAGTAATGTTAATGAATAGGGAGTTAAGGATTCGGGCACATTCTATTGAACTCTCTGGTGCTGTCTGGAATACACTAAGTGATTTGTACACGAGGACTTAAAGGTTGTTGTTTTAAAATTTACTCATCAAACATCAAACACATGTTGTCTTGAATTGGATCCATTTCATTCGTTGAAGATTTTACATCAAGACAATAAAAAGTGAAGATTCCTCTTTAGACATAGCGGTTCATTGGGCAGATGAAGGGATAATGTGAAGTGATAATGTCAGCACTATGTCAAGGCCGCCTTTAATTTCTTTATTTTGGTAGGTATTATTCAGAACTGAACTCAGGAACGATCCGCTGACTTAAACCCGGACTTAAACCCGGATTCGAACCCGAGACTTTCAGGACAGCAGAATATCGATCTACCACTAGGCCACGCCGTCCCATAGTCCGACCATAACAAAAAGCTAATGTGAAGCGTGTCAAGTATGTTTAAAAAACTGACACTGTCAACATTTATCAACAATTAGAAAAAATTAGACGCTGATCAGTATCAGATTGAAATTATTCTCCCATTAAATGTGGATATCAATCCTATTACAAATTATAGGTACTCCTTATCATGCCTTAGTTCGAATTCGGGTCCAAGTGAGTAGAAGTTCCATGAGTCAACTCAGCTTTGATGGGTACCTAACTCATGTTAAGGAAAGTAAAGGCGGCTGGGAAAAGTGCTTACCACACCTTCCCTTCATATGCCGCGTTCAAGAAACATACGTACGCTACTTCATCTGCCCAATGGATCGCTAGATATAAAGGGAAATCTTCACTTTACTTTTATTAGTTTTATTATGCCTTAGCCAATTAAATTGTACGTGAAGCCTATCCAAAACCGACCGCAATGTTTGAACAGTTAAAAATCAGAAGTTTCCCGTTAATCAAATATCCCGTACTATCTACTAGGTAACCACATGTAATCCCCGCCTCGCCACACCTGAGCAGGTGTGTCAGAGATTTCCCAACCTGCACGCCGGAAGTGAATACCTGACAAGGTGGATCTGGGCACAGTAAACTCGCCAGACACACCACATGTCTACCACTAGTTTACTACACTACCACTAGTCTAATACTAGTCTACCACAAATCTACCACTAGCCTACCACTAGTCTATCACAAGTATACCACACTGCCACTAGTCTATCACAAGTATACCACACTGCCGCTAGTCTATCACAAGTATACCACACTGCCACTAGTCTATCACAAGTATACCACACTGCCACTAGTCTATCACAAGTATACCACACTGCCACTAGTCTATCACAAGTATTCCACACTGCCACTAGTCTATCACAAGTATACCACACTGCCACTAGTCTATCACAAGTATACCACACTGCCGCTAGTCTATCACAAGTATACCACACTGCCACTAGTCTATCACAAGTATACCACACTGCCACTAGTCTATCACAAGTATACCACACTGCCGCTAGTCTATCACAAGTATACCACACTGCCACTAGTCTATCACAAGTATACCACACTGCCACTAGTCTATCACAAGTATACCACACTGCCACTAGTCTATCACAAGTATACCACACTGCCACTAGTCTACCACACTGCCACTAGTCTACCACACTGCCACTAGTCTATCACAAGTATACCACACTGCCACTAGTCTATCACAAGTATACCACACTGCCACTAGTCTATCACAAGTATACCACACTGCCGCTAGTCTATCACAAGTATACCACACTGCCACTAGTCTATCACAAGTATACCACACTGCCACTAGTCTACCACACTGCCACTAGTCTACCACACTGCCACTAGTCTATCACAAGTATACCACACTGCCACTAGTCTATCACAAGTATACAACACTACCACTAGTCTATCACAAGTATACAACACTACCACTAGTCTATCACAAGTATACCACACTGCCACTAGTCTATCACAAGTATACCACACTGCCACTAGTCTATCACAAGTATACCACACTGCCACTAGTCTATCACAAGTATACCACACTGCCACTAGTATATCACAAGTATACCACACTGCCACTAGTCTACCACAAGTATACCACACTGCCACTAGTCTATCACAAGTATACCACACTGCCACTAGTCTATCACAAGTATACCACACTGCCACTAGTCTATCACAAGTATACCACACTGCCACTAGTATATCACAAGTATACCACACTGCCACTAGTCTACCACACTACCACTAGTCTACCACTTGTCTAATACTAGCCTACCACACTACCACTTGTCTAATACTAGCCTACCACACTACCACTTGTCTAATACTAGCCTACCACACTACCACTTGTCTAATACTAGCCTACCACACTACCACTTGTCTAATACTAGCCTACCACACTACCACTTGTCTAATACTAGCCTACCACACTACCACTTGTCTAATACTAGCCTACCACACTACCACTTGTCTAATACTAGCCTACCACACTACCACTTGTCTAATACTAGTCTAACACACTACCACTAGTCTACCACTAGCCAACCACCAATCTACATCAAATCTCACAAGTCTACCATATACTTAAAGCAAGTATTGCAGTAAAACGTATTCGTTTGATGCAGTATTTAATCTGTTTGTATGAGAGGAAGGGGGGGGGGGGGGTAATTTTCTAGCCTCTTCCAAAACTTTGCTTTTAACGGCCGAGTTGTTCACACTTGGGACAGGCACCCCTGTGCATTGACATTCGATTAGTCGGAACGTGGCAGGGGGGTGGGGGAGGGGTGGGGTGGGTGGGTGGGGGGAGATGGGGGGGGCGGGTTAACTATCAAAGTGTAAACTTTCCGCCACATTTTTGTCGTGTCGGGAGATAGGGGGGGGGAGCGCTATTACATTTCGAAACATACCCGGTAGTAAAAAGCATAACTCGTCGAGATTTGTGGAACAAAACAAATATGTATTTTATATCAAAAGTTACAATCGTGAAAAAGTGTTACAAAATAAGAATGTAGTTATTCTAGCGAAATACGTCTACAGTATACAAATCACATTTCTATCTAATTAAATATTACAAAAGAAATAAACAACAAATTAAGCAAACATTCTATTTGTTATTCTTCATAAAAAATGTTATATCATGTATTTAAATAAATGCTTGATGAATAAATTAAAAATTTTCAGATGGCAAAAGTAAAAGTGTGGTTTATTTTATTTTAATTTAACAGTTACAAACAGAAAAAAAAACGATATATTCTAAGAAAACATAGATTTGATCATATTAGAGGCGTTCTTGACATTTTTCGGGAGTGGACAAAAATTTTAGAGGGGGGAGGGGAAATACTGGTAAAACTATAAATGTTCTATATAAATTCTATTTCGTTTAGGAAGAGATGCCTGAAAGAAACTATGCTGATTACATTATCCCATCTATGCCGAAGTCATCGAAATTTAGTCAGGAACGGGATAAGATGTTAGCATAAGTTTAATTTTTTTAAACTTCAAAAAGGAAAATTAAAATATGTAGGAGGTTATACTAATGCATTTGAGTACGTTTATTTTTACGTATTCACTGTACTTAACAGCCTATTTGTAAGAAGGTTTTTCTACTTTATTTTTCTATTTTTTAATTATTGTGTTAATATACAAGACTACGAATTTATAATATGTTAATTTTTATACTTTTTTTTTATTTTTTTCGTTTTAGTATTCAGATATTGTAAATATACAAGACTAAATTTATGTGTTAGTTTTAAAAATAAATATGATTTTATATTTTATTATATTAATGGACTTCAGCAGTAATATTCTCCAATGGTTCATTAAATATTTAAAAACTGTGGGTGATGTAATTAAAATATTATTATTGTAATTAATTAATTTACTTTTCACGTGGTAATAAAGACATAAACAAAGACATCCTGCTGTTAAAATGGCTGGCATAAATTATAAATTATAAAGACATACTGCGCATGCGCAATGAAGTAATATTTTTATTTTTTTAATTCTAACATCAGCAGAAGCGATACTTAAAATAACATATGGACACGAAGTATTTATATTAAATTGTAAACATTATTACAATATGGCCAAGTTTACCTATGAAAATATTTGTGTTTACTGAAATGTATTCTTAAATTGATTCTCATACTATCTGCCTCTTTCGTTACTTAATCTAACGTGGACTGTTCTAAAATTACACAAACACCAGAAAAACGAAAAATTGAAATATGTTATAGGTAAAGGCAAAGCCGATTGTGTACGCATCGAATGATAGATAAACAGTGAAACCATCTTAAAATAGTAAATGGCACTTTGTGGAAAATATGTTAAAAAATATCAAATTATAATTTAACAGATCAAAGTCATATCAGAAAATGTAATGTAATTGAAGATATAATACAGTGTATCATCAAAACAATAGTTCAACAAAATCGCATATTATATTACAGCAATTGATAAATGTGAATAACGAAGTCTAATTACTAATTAACAGAGTGGTCTAAAAGATCTCTCATAGCTTATAAACACCGGTGTTAAAAGATCGGCCTGTCTCTTTATATAACGTAACATAACATCTCTTTCTAGCGAGAAATGTAGCATTCTACAGCACTCTCATGTACCTCAACTCCTCTAGCAGTCTATAACACCTCTCAAATAACCCAACTCCTCTAGCAGTCTATAACAACTCTCGAAGAATACTCCAGCACCTTTAGAGGTAGCTACACCTCCCAAACAAACCACATCTAATAGTTTCTGACGCCTAAAGAAAGAATATACCGTCTGCTGTTTACATCTGCTCTGCGTTCTTTACTTAACACAATCCAACTATCCGTACTGCAGAAGGACGGCATCCAATTATCCGTACTGCAGCTGGGTCTGTTGCTTCTCGAGGTTCTTCTGGAAGTACCAGATCAAAAAGCCCATCAACCCGTAGCCGATGATTCCCCAGAAGATGCCGAACATGTTCAGGTAGAAGGCACTGCTCGCCTCGTTGGCGGCATCCTTGTACCGCTTCTCTCTCTTTCTTCTATTGGCCTGTGGGTAGTATTGAACCGGTGTTAGAGAGATAGAAAAGAGGGTTGGGGTTGATATAGCTATACTAGACATAAAGTGGAATTTTAATGCAAATCGTTAGGTCCGAAATGCAAAACTGACAAGTTTGAGTCTTGTGGAATGTTGGAATCAAATCCCATTCATATAGTTTTGTCTTTATCATATTATATTATATATATATATATATATATATATATATATATATATATATATATATATCGATGATGGCTGTTCATTGACAATGTAATTCACAACATTTGCTTTCAAGTAATAATATATGGCGAGCAGGTCATGAAATCACTTTCAATGAATATTGTATGGTCAGTAGGACTACACACCTAAGTACCAACCACTTCAAAAACTCCCCTTTAATGAATATTGGATGGCCACTACACACCAAAGTACCAACCCCCTTAGGACATTACAAAATACCAACCCCCTTAGGACATTACAAAATACCAACCACCTTAAGACATTACAAAATACCAACCCCCTTTGGACATTACAAAATACCAACCCCCTTAGGACATTACAAAGTACCAACCCCCTTAGGACATTACAAAATACCAACCCCCTTTGGACATTACAAAATACCAACCACCTTAAGACATTACAAAATACCAACCCCCTTTGGACATTACAAAATACCAACCACCTTAGGACATTACAAAATACCAACCCCCTTTGGACATTACAAAATACCAACCCCCTTTGGACATTACAAAATACCAACCACCTTAAGACATTACAAAATACCAACCACCTTAATTAAGACATTACAAAATACCAACCCCTTTGGACATTACAAAATACCAACCCCTTAGGACATTACAAAATACCAACCACCTTAAGACATTACAAAATACCAACCCCCTTTGGACATTACAAAATACCAACCACCTTAAGACATTACAAAATACCAACCACCTTAAGACATTACAAAATACCAACCACCTTAAGACATTACAAAATACCAACCACCTTTGGACATTACAAAATACCAACCCCCTTAGGACATTACAAAATACCAACCCCCTTAGGACATTACAAAATACCAACCACCTTAAGACATTACAAAATACCAACCACCTTAAGACATTACAAAATACCAACCACCTTAAGACATTACAAAATACCAACCACCTTAGGACATTACAAAATACCAACCACCTTCGGATATTACAAAATACCAACCCTCTTAGGTACGAAGTACCAGCTACCGAATGAACTCACCTTCAATGAATATTGGATGGCCAGTAGAACTAAACAACCACCTATGAACTCACCTTTAATGAATATTGGATAGCCAGTAGGATTACACACCAAAGTACCAACTACCTAATGAACTCACCTTCACAAAACATTGGATCGCCAGTAGGATTACACCCCAAAGTACCAGGTACCGAATGAACTCACCTTTAATGAATATTGGATGGCCAGAATCCCGAACAACCAGGAGAACAAGAAAGTAACCAGTATACTGAGAGGGACATAATTCCTTATGTGTGGCACTACTGGTATTACCTGAAAAAAAAACTGAATGTATGAACATCTTGATACAGTAAGTTTCTAAATTTAACTTGTGAAATGTGAATAGATAACAAGATATTAATAGAGTTGATAATATCAAAAAGAATAAATAATTATTTGATAATCTCAAAACGACATCTGAAATAGACTTTAGAAATATGTTTTTAAAAAGCAGTCAGATATTTCTGCAGTCAGCCAAAGTTAGCTAATGACGTCAAAGATATACCTCTGCTTCCAGTCTTCCCTGAATAGCTATACATACGGACTACAACTTAACAAAAGACGCTAGCTGAATATGGAATCTAACTCTGGATATTCGCAGTGGTATTTGTTATGTCAGGTAATTGCGTGGTCAGATGGTAGATTGCACATGTGTTAACGCGAAAGACTCGAGTTCGAATCACGAGCTTCAACGTCTCTGAGCACAGTTCTAATAGATACCTGGCTCATATTTAGGGACGGTGTAGACGTCTGGGTATATTGCTGACAACACTACCCCTTCATTTGCGGAGAATAAAACACAGGGGAGCTCTACTTCAACTGCCGCATGGACCGCCAGGCGAGAAAGGTTTGTGTGGTAGGTCGGTGTGGTCGAGTTGCTTAAGCTCATGATTGGTGAACCGAATAGTCCCGAGTTCGAACCTCTGGGATAATTAGGCTCGATAGCTGGAGAAAGCTGCTTATCGCGGAGAGACAACTCCCAAATCAAACAACTGCTGCCTTGTAGTTTGTTCTTGGTTCGAGAAAGGCTATGGAAGCAAATCCATAATGAAAAGCCGGCTGAAATCGGAATCAATTGCCTTAATGGCGTATAACCAGTTGATACGTAAAACTTATTTGTTTAGAAGTTTATGTGTTATACTCATGTCTCTAAACTTACACCCATTCACTCGCTTACTACAATATATATATGTGTATATATATATATATATATATATATATATATATATATATATATATATATATATATATATATCAACTACAAACAAGTTATAAAACTTCATGGTCTACAAATTACTGATGAAACCTGTTTGTCCATATTCTAATTAAACCCACTTCCGGGTTTGTTTACGATTGCTGCAGCATGTAGGCTACTTGACGTCATCGGAATCTTAACCCAACAAGAAACAGGATCCACGCATCACTGATCACGGTAATGAATCTCGTCACCGCGTTTCTACCCCTAGGTTGTATGTTCATAATACCCATGACAGAGAAGCTTGTTCATTTTTGCTGGGTGTATTAGATACGTTAAAGCTTTAAGCTGATTTATCTTAAATCTTTGGTTTAAAGGTTTGACTAAAGTCACAAAGACCATTTGTCTAACGATGGGTGTCGGTGCGGGTTTCTGGTAAGATGATGGCACAATTGAAAGCCTTTTCTAATGAAGCGACTTCTTTCAAATTTCAAAATAAATTAAATTCCAATACTAACGCTAGAATAGCTCCTTATTTCTATAATTCGATATAAATACGTCTCAATAAATAAAGATTACTAAATTATTTTTTAAATGGCAGATAATGATGTACAAAATTGTAGAATGTAATACACACAATAACAGATAATCATATATTAACTAGCAGATAATAATAAACAAAACGACAGAAAATAATATACAAAATAGCAGATAATATACAAGATGACAGATAATAATATACAACATTGCACGTAACTAGACTATCCAGTTTCCAGTCTGAAACGGTCGGTTGGCTGCACTGATCCCACTCTGCCCACCCCACCCTTTAAAGTCTTTCCACCCCACATTAAATCATCCCTGTTCTTGAACCCGAACTCCCGCCCAATTCCTTTGGGTCATCCACTTATGACGTAAATGCGGGCTATATAACATTCACTTATTACAAAATGGCAGATAATATTATACAAAATGACATAATAATATACAAAATGGCGACAACAACATACACAATTGCAGATTAAATGTACAAATAAGCATATAATAATATAAAATTAGCAGATAATAATATAAATAATAGCAGATAATAATATTGATATTAGCAGATATACAAAATGATAGGTAATAATATGTAAAATGGCAGTTAATTATTTAAAAATGTATCGCTCGCTTGAGCAGTTATTGGGTGTGGTGTCTCATTATCTTTCTAGACATTTAGACCAGACGACACAAGTGTTGAGACGGCTATAAATGCCAGTTACTATCGATGACGACAAAAGACAAACAGATGAGGAACGTTACATAAAAACTAAAAGAAAAATTTATAGAAAAGATCGACTTTTAAAGAATATTTACAAAATTAAGTCATTTTTTTTAGGGTAAAGAGAAAACTAAGATTCGTTCTAATAAATGAAGGCGGTGGACACAAGAATGATCGCCTTGGGATAATTAAAAACTGTCAGTGGCACCACTAAGTTTAGTGTGTCATTAACGCCTCCCCCCCCCCCAATACACACACAAACACACATATACACACAGTACGTGAGTAAAAAAGAATAATTTATTTTAACAGTGAGAATAATGAGTTAGACATCAGTATAGATCACTCACCACTTCTGGCTCTGTAAATGTCTGGAGATTATATTCTGGCACAGCAGATCTGCCGGGATTCTGCGTGCTGGTGATGATGTAACTGAACTCAGCGCCAGATGGCATACGGTAAACACGCTCATTGTCGTCCAAATCTTGTTTAGTAAACTTGTTGTCAACAGACGAGTTGAAGCTAGGCAGTTTACCCACGTCCAAGTTATGCAGCGTCCGTCCTGTGTTTTGTCCGCTAGCGTCAGCATGGTTGTCTGGGATGTCACCGGTCAGTGGCAACCACGGGTTGTTCGCAGCCGAGCCTGGATAGGTTGACGTGGTGAAGTCAGCCCATGGTTGTCCGAGTTGGTTGGATATATCCAAAAAATTATCTTCAAAACTCAGACTTGGTGTTGTGCGATCCACATCCCTCGTTGTTCGTTTATCCATGTTTCCTGATTTCTATCAACAAGAATAATTCCTTAGGCCTGTCTTCTTCTCTTTAACTATTCTTCTATAGTATGCAATCTGGACTGTTGCATTATTAAACACACAGGTTCAGCTCGCTTAAACATAGAGTAGATAATGTTTGCTGTATTGATTTTCAAGGCACGCTGCACCTTGGGAAAAATACAGAGTCACGTGAACACAACCAAGGCCATGACTAACCTAGGCAGCAAGGTAAAATGGCGTCATACGAGCAAAATGTCATGGTAACTGAGCAGCCAGTTCTGTCTGACGTAGATCTCCGACTCAGTTCGTTGGGCAGCAAGCAGGACGTGAGACTGGCGCTCTGTCTGCCAGCGTGTTTGTCTGTGGCGGGACTAGCGTTGTGAAACCTGGTGCACTTTGTTTACCCGCGTTGTAAGCGGATACACAATGGCTGGTGACGTGTAATCCGCAACTCTATCTCCGGTTTCTGACTGGGTGGTGGGGGGGGGAGGGATAGTTGGTTGGTAGAGAGGGGGTGGTTGGTGTGGGTTTTTTGTGAGTTGGAAGGGGTTGATAGTGGGTTGGTAGCGGGTTGGTAGAGGGTGGTGGTTGGTGTAGGTTTTATTGTGGGTTGGAAGTGGTTAATAGTGTGTTGGTAGAGGGGGGTAATTAATTGGTGTAGATTTTATTGTAGGTTGGAAGTGGTTAATAGTGGGTTGGTTGAGGGGGGGGGGGGTTGGTTGGTGTAGGTTTTATTGTAGGTTGGAAGGGGGCGAAAGTGGGTTGGTAGTGGGTGTGTTTGTTAAAGGATGTTGGCGGGCTGGTAATGGGTTGATGATGGGTTGCTGTAGACTTGATGGTGAGTTTGAAGTGGTCGATAGTAGGTTGATAGTGAGTGGATAGACGATTGGTAGTGTGTTGATTGTGGGTTTTATGTGATATAGTAGACAGTTGATGACATATATGCCGATTGTGAATTGGTAACCTGATTATTATATTTGACTATGGTGGTAAATTTGTTGGTCGTGTATCTGTTGTTGTTTTGTCAGTAAACTTTTAAAAAGTGATTTTTTTTTTAAGAAGGTAGAAAGATATGTGGTTGAGTGTTAAATTAAAATGATTTACAGTTTCTATGCCGAGTTGATCAAGAAAGTAGAGCTCCTTTCTGACCTATATAAGGTCAGCACCATGCTCTGTGGCATTTATTTTTCTCCTTAGCGAGTTATGCCTAGAGTTCCCGTGTTCCAGTCTATAAGACCTCTCTGTCGACTCAGCTAAAATGGGTACCTAACAAGAGTCGGGGAAATAAATTGCAGATGAGCTGAATGCTAACCACGTCACTCCCTTGTATATTTGCGTCAAATAAACATAAACTCTACTCCATCTATTATACTCATATATCATAAGGACAGATGTCAGGAAATTAACACATTTCAAGCATGGTTAGACACACTATGGCGCTATGTGGACACAGCAATACCTTAAGGGACGGAGATGGTGCGATAGATTAGCTTGCGTGTGTTCTACAATACAAATTCACAGTAAAATATGTAGGCCCGTGTTTTCAACATTAATTGAACCCCTCCCCTCATACAACTGTCACCACCTTGAGATAAGGGAACCATATCTATGACTCACATATTGAACATAGCGATTTAATCTTTGTATCCATGTCAACAACACAAAACACGTTATTGAAATTAAACTAATGATTTTCAGATTACACATTGAAAGAATTGTGTGCAGCATGGGCGTCTACATACAAAATATCTGGAATTAGATTTTGAATCAGGGGACAGCATAGTGTGGCCGGTAAATCCCATGCGGCCAAACCGAAAAGTCCCGAGTTCGAGCCCCCGGGCAGATAAAGCTCGATAGCTGAAGTAGAGTAAGACAGCTAGGAGAGGCAAATCTAAAATCAAACAAGTGCTGCCTTGTAGTTTGTTCATGGGTGGACAAAGGCTACGGAAGCAAATCCAGTAAAAAAAATCAAGCTGAAATTCGAGAAAACGGGCCATAGGGCGCATGTCCTATTCTTTCGTATAACTCAAGTAAGAACGAAAAAGAATAGAAGATCTACAATCTTGAAACTCTCGAACAAACAAAGAAATATTTAGATATGCAACCCGGAAGTAACATGAAATGGATAAAGGCAGCTAGGTTTCAGTTAATTTATCTAATAGATCTACGTGTGTATCATGCATATATATATATATATATATATATATATATATATATATATATATATATATATATATATATATATATATATATAGGCCTATATATATTAATATGAGCTCTAATAAATCAAGCAGCTTATTGCCTTTATGACAAAAAACAAATGGTAGCTGCAGTGAGGTTAATGTAATTAGTAATAAAACAGATAGTATTAGTTACCTCACAAGTTAAAGACAGTTACAAGTACTATGGACGTTTCGACCCAAGGTCTTCGTCAGCACACCCCAAGGTCTTCGTCAGCACACAATGTGTGCTGACGAAGACCTTGGGTCGAAACGTCCATAGTACTTGTAACTGTCTTTAACTTGTGAGGTAACTAATACTATCTGTTTTATTACTAATTGCCTTTATGACGAATATAGTGGTAATTATATTGGCCACCTATTTTACGTTAATTAAGGAACCGGTTGTTACACCTGACCTATATTGTGTTAGCTAACACACATACACTTGCAAGGGCATCCACTCTATCACCTTATACAATGTTTACCTTTTAAATCGAGCCGCGTCACAGGTCAATCAAAAACTTTGACTTGATTTACGCATGGGACGACTTGACCTAGCAGTAGAGTCACGAAAGTGTCGAGTTCGAATCCGGGTCCAGGTCAGTAGAACTTTCAGGAGTCAACCCAGCTTTGAAGGGTGCCTAGCTCATGTTAGGGAAAGTAAAGGCTGCTGGGCATAGTGTTGACCACACCATCCCTTCATATGTCAAGAAACATCTACTTCATCTGCCCAATGGATCGCTTGTTCGAAAAGCAATTTGTGCTTTACTTTTACTTTTTCCAATGTATATATTTACAGTAATGAGAAGGGGAAGAAAGGCCTATATATATATATATATATATATATATATATGTTACGGTCAAAGCCCGAAGTCGGCCAATGCTAGGATTGGCCGGCCAATCCGCGCATTGGCCAATATCGCCTCCCATAGGTAGGTCAAAGTCCGAAACTTTGCTTGATTTCGGCCTTTGGCCGGCCAATCCGCAGACTGGCCAATGTGGACCGGCCAAAGTCTGAAATAGCTCTTCATTTCGGCCTTTGGCCGGCCAGTCCGCGGACTGGCCATGGTGGACCGGCCAAAGTTTTAATTAGAAGATCATCTGGCTAGGGACGACCGGCCAAAGTCCTAATTAGAAGATCATGAGCAGATTTTGGCTTTTTATGCAGTAAGGATCATGAAATTAAGTCTTTATTGATTATTAATTACAGTAAATGACAGAAATATTCAAATTTTTTATTGTACTATAGTCTCAATCTATCAATATCATCATTTGTTACAACGAGTTGAACTTTTATGGCATTTAGAATTACATAGCAGCTTGTTATTTTTACACTGGAAGCGATTTGTTGTGCACTTAATTGTGCAATTGCTGCGAGTGTAGCCTTGGCCCCCAGTCAATGATTGTGAAGATTCGATGGTTCGTAGAGATTTTTCCTCAGTGCCAACTGACGACTTTATGGGCAGTTTTTCGTGAATAATTGAAAACTCACTTCTAGAATATATTTGTTTTAGAACACCATTGTCACCCACTTCATCATCTTTAAATTTTGTATTTGATGTTTTAAGCATCTTAGCACCTTGAGTTTGCAAGCCAGTATGAGCTGCTGATCTGTGTTCCATGATGTCTTGTTTGTTGTGACACAATCTGAAGGTAATGTTCCCACCGTACCCTTCGTCTGCTTCATTGGGTATTCCACAAATAGCAAGGACATCGTTGCCACAGGATCCAAAAGAATGAGCTGCACTACAATGTTTTTCACAAACTATACAGAATCGGTTGGCCACAATATTGTCACGCAACTGGTCTGGACGTTCCGCCACGGCAGTAGATGTGTTAGCTGAGGATGTCGTTGCATCTATGGCAACCTCTATTTCTTGTTCAATGTTCTCAAGGTCTTCCTCAGTAACTATTTTTTCGAGAGCCCATATATGGAAACTAACATGGATTTACATTTTTTTCTTTTGACAGCCATCTGCTATGTCTGTCTCATGGTCTGACGGCCCTTTTGATCCATGTCGCCTTGCATATAGAATGCTATACAAACAAGAGCTAAACAATACGTTACTCTCAATGAAAACGCACCCAGAATAATGAAAATGCGATCACAACTTAGTCTAGATAGAACATTGGCCAGGACATCCCGGCCAGTGCGCGCATTGGCCGGCCAATGTACAAAATACGCTGTCAAGTTTAAGCTCTTCGGACTTTGGCCAGTACGTCCCGGCCAGTGCGCGCATTGGCCGGCCAATGTACGAAATACGATCTTAGTTCTAAGTTCTTCGGGCTTTGGCCAAGAGAGCCGGCCAATCCGCGGATTGGCCGGCCAATCCTAGCTTTGGCCGCACTTCGGGCTTTGACCGTAACATATATATATATATATATATATATATATATATATATATATATATATATATATATATATATATATATATATATATATATATATATATATATATATATATAACCCCAAAGTCTTCGTCCATCGTTGACATTATCAACAGTCAGAAAAAAATGTCTAACACAGTTTAACTAAAGCCCATAAGAATGTTGTTATGAAAATGACAACTAAACTAAATTAACAAACGGGAGTTTTTGACCCCACCACCAAGTAGACCACTTATCAACACCGATCCTTCAACGAGGTATTTCCTGGGCCCGGCTATCTCAACTTCAAGCGGGAATTACCCAACAGGAACCATTTTTTCCCCAGACCGAACGGCCGACACAGTTCGGAGAATGAGAGATCCCTGTTCAGGTAAACTTACTCGTAAACAAGCACAGGCAGTGGCGTGGTTAGGTTGGGTGTCACCCGGTGCGGCATCTCATGGTGTCACCCTCCCCCTTTTTTCACTTTAAATTTTGTTTATCTCTAGTCGGTCGTTAATACAGCCGGGGGTAACATTGTTTTCTCTATTGTTTGCATGCCCACGTCATGGTGTTACCGCGTTTCCCCCTTGTCGGGATCATACATTTGTACTTAAAATAGTTTTTAACTCTAATTAATCATTTATTGAACTGTCAAAAAACATGTATTATATATATATATATATATATATATATATATATATATATATATATATATATATATATATATATATATATTGCATATAGATTGCATTTTTTTCTCGTGTCACCCCTATAT